ATAAAAATTTTATTTTATTTTAATTTTTTTAAAAATAATATAAATAAATATATAAATTATTTTTAAATTTTAAATTAAAAAAAAACTATGTAGAGATAAAAAAATTATAATTTATACAAGGTTTTTTTATTATGTGCATTTAACATTTAATTTAAAAAAGTAATAAATGTATTTTTTATAATTAATTTATATAAAAAAATTTAATTTAATTTAAATTTAATTAATTAATAAATTAAAATTATTTATGTGATAATAATATTAAAATAAAAATTAATTTTCAATAATTTTTATATAAATTAATTATAAAAAAATACATTTATTATGTTTTTTCTTTATAATCTTAAAAGAAAATTGTAATTTCAACTAAATATATTTATTTTTTAAATAATTTTTTAATTTTAATATCAATAATTATATAAATTCTGTATTTCTAAAAAAAAAAAAAAACCTTATTCGTACATAAATCTTAAAAAAAAATTGTGATTCCAGCCTAGGTCCAAGTTCTGTCGTGAGCAGGTGGGCATATGTCAACGTCAGCTCTCTGAACACCCACCAAGTACGGAAACATGAATGAGTATTTGAGAAAGCTCCATTATGATCGTATTCAACCACAATAAATGATGGAGAGAAAATATCAAGATTTGCATTTATTTTTGAAATTATTCGACTGCAAGGATTACACCCAAATTCATATTTGGATAAGCTCCATTATGATTATATTTAATCGTAATAAATGATGGAGATAAAATCTCATCAAGATTTGCATCTCTATTTGAAAATATTTAACTGTAAAAGAATACAACCACATTTATATTAAAAAAAAAGCTCCATAATACCAAAAATTTGTTGGTGTTAGCGAAGGAAAATCGATTTTGTTTAAATAAAATTTCAAGTTCAAGTTTTATGAATGAAAAAATAAGTATTAAAAGAGTTTCCCTTCATATGAGATTTCATTCGATTCGATTTCAGATTAATTAAAAGTTTAATATAATTTTTGGATACCAAAAAATTAATATAAAAAAAAAAAAAAACTCTACAATCATATTCAACCGTAATTAAAATGATGAAGAGAAAATATCATCAAGATTTGCATTTACAAGGCATGCGCACGACATTTTACAATAATTACATGCTTCATGAGTTTTTAAATTATAATTTTACTTAAGTTGGTATTGGATATTTTAATTTTAGTAAGATTTAATCTATTTTCTTAAATATTTTCATGTATCTTAATTTTCATAGGACTTAATTTAGGATATAATATCAATTATTTTTAACAACTAAATTAAGATAAAAATTTCACAATTATTGGTAGCCTTAACAAAAGTTAATTTATGGTGGGTGTCACCATTGTCCATGTTGAAAATTTCGAGCATCACAATCTCACACAAACAGAAGTGATAAAGAAATTGAGACAATAATTTAACGTAATTCGATTTGTATATTTTTTAACAAGTTTATGTTTATGAAAAAGAGAGAAATAAATTCACTATTAAGAAAAATAGTACAATAATTTAAAAACTCTCTCACTCAAAAAGCAATCAACACCTTAATTTCAATGTATATAAGCTCCCAAATTCTCCTCAATACTCCCTCTTAATCTACATAATTTACATAAGGATTTCTCACAATTTCTCTCTTTGTTTTCTCTCACAAGAGCTCTTAGTTAATTTCTCTTGCTTTCTCCTACTCTTGCTTTCTCCTACTCTTGCTTGCCCATTGCCTTTGCATGCATGGGTTGAAAAAATCCAACCATTGCTTGCCCATTGCCTTTGCATGCATGGGTTGAAAAAATCCAACCATTGCTTGCCCATTGCCTTTGCATGCATGGGTTGAAAAAATCCAACCAGCTATGCACTATTTTTCTTTGCCTCATTACTACCCGTCTATGATTTTCTTTGTTCATTAAATGGCTCAACATGCTATCTTGCATGATTTCAACAAAGGAATCCTAGCCCACAAGGCCACAACTAGTTAGGTTGGTGAAGAAATTTCACCACATGGAAAGTCCATTTGTTCGCATGCATGGGGTTGGACTTTCTTCCAACAGTCCATGATACGGTAAAACCAGTTTCTGCTTTTCTGTGCACACTGAAAATTCATAATTTCTAGTAGTTCTCACATACCTGATATTGCAAGCCACTTTCCCATTTGTTTCCCATGTCATGTCTCCAACTGCTATATATATATGTTACCCCATGAAACCTGAATAGCATCCCCATTTCCCTTCCTCATTTTGATTTGATTTCTATTCATCATTATGAGCTATACATCCCTCTGTTTCTCCTTGTTTTTCGTCATCTTTTCTGTTGTATCCTCTAGGTACTTTTCTGCCAATGATAATTTTGCAGTACCCTACCAGTACCTAAAGTTGGTTTTGCAATGGCAGCCATCTGTTTGTTCAGTACCTCGTGTCAATTGCCCGGTTCCACCATCCCCTAATTTCACAATCCATGGACTCTGGCCAAGCAACTACAGTGACCGTTATTCACAACCGAGTTATTGTACTAAGGAGCAGTTTAACTTGTCACAGGTATGATTTGTGTGTTTTCTATTTTCTTTTTCCCTCAACTATTTTCTTATTGTAATCAAATTTGTATTACTGATTGTTCAGCTACCGCGGAACCTACAGCAAGATATGTATGCATACTGGCCGGATGTGATAAGAAATCAGAGTGAGAAGTTTTGGGAACACGAGTGGGCTCAGCATGGAACGTGTTCAGTGATGACGCAGAAATATTATTTCAATTTCACAGTTACTACGACCAAAGATCAAAAGTACAACTTGCTTAGCTTTCTCGAAGAGGAGGGTATTAGCCCCAACAACAGCCGAACTGTTGACACAAGATTAGTGAAGGCAGCCATCGAAAAACACATTAAAAAACACCCTGGTTTGCGTTGTGTTCCTAAGAAGGGCCAAGGCGGGCAATATCAGTTGAATGAGGTGGTTTTATGTTTTAACGAAACAAAAGTGCTTATAGACTGTGTGGATAGTTATGACTCTAATTGTAGGGGGCCTATTCTGTTTTCCGAGTGAGTGTGAGGATGGGTATGAATCCTGTAGTAAGAATAAAAATTCAAATGAAATGTCATATTTATTTGGGTAGTATTTTGCAAAAAATATATTCTGCGATTGGATGGGGTACAAAAAAAATATTGACGATGGGTACCCATGTTTGGCTACGCCTTGGCATACGAGGCTAAACTAGTATTCTTAATACCATTTAGGCGTGCACCCATTTCTTAGGGTATATAATTGGGATAGTTTAAAAAAAAAAGGTGGTTTAAAATGGTAATTTGAAAAGGGGAGGTTACGAATTTAATTCCAAAAAGGCAAACATCTAAATATTTCCAAATTTAAACTTCTATAATTTTTCTTTTGTTTAGAATTGAAATATCTCTAATTTGAAGTTATTCAATCAGAATTTGAATTTAGAAATCTCTAATTTCGACTTGATTATAGTTTAATTGAAGTCATTATATCTGTACAAACATATGAATGAGATCACAGAAATATGGTACTCAAAATTCTCCAGACTCACCACTCCATATTTGATGAAAAAATAACCATAGAAGGTCCATAAATTGAAAATTTTGGTTAGCACTCAATAGCAAACTCCATAGACATGAAATTATGTCCCAAGAAACAAATACAGAAAGCCAAAGAGTAGAACATGTGTGCTCATTGTCTATTTAGAAAGTTTAAAGTACAAGACCAAGCCGATAGCAATAACAAGTACCGCAACAATGATACCGATTATCCACTTGTTCCTGTTCATTCTCCTTGATATGGCAGTCAAAATTCTCTTACTCTTGCCAATGTTATCATCTACTCCATGTAGCTGCAACAGCAGAAAACTACTTATTAAGTACACTACCGCATGATGTAGACTTATAATGAAAGAAATAAGAGTCAACTATAAGAGTTGATAGAACACCGTCTCATGATAGAAAAGTGAAACAAATGCTTTTGTTATGAATACCCGGATGAGTTCTAGTTAAGGTGCTGTTTAAGAGAGTGTACACTAAGCACTTGTAAGATATGAGAAAAATGATGAATCAAAAGGTGAAAAGCCTGAAACTTATCTAGAACTTACTGTGTCATGGGCATGTAAGAGAGACTGTCGCTGAGAATGCAAGTCTTGAAGAATTGAAACACCAAGCTCCTCAGTTTCCAGCATTGTTCTCCTGCTATCCTTAATCCTATCACTTGTCTGATTCAACCTTTCAGTAGACATCATTAATCTTGATCTTTGATCAGCAGTTGCCTATTGCATTTCCATCGTGTGTAAATAACTAACTATCAAGACTTGTTGAACACATACAAGAACAAGTATTAATAACAGAAATAAGAGAAGTACAAGCCATAGAATAGCATAAGCTCATAGACACTTCTTTTCCCGTCCACAGACTAGATGCAATTATGATGATTGAACCCAAGTGCAAACAAAACAATTAAAGCCCTTGAGTGTACAGTATGGTTCTTTCCGATATCAAATGATAGGAAAAGCAGACTACAAAGGAAAACATAGCTACAAATTTTCGATATAACTAATGATACATATAAATCATCATTTGGGTACAATAAATTTTCCAGGAAACATGATGATAATCATCACCACAATGACATTATAGACGCACAAGCATGTTTAGGTTGGATAGGAATAAGCAAATACCGTGAGTGTGTCAGCCATTCCAGATTCTAACAACTGATCTCGAGCAGAGGGGTTTAAGTTGCCAGTTGCAATTCTTTTGACTTCAGTTTTAAGGTTGTTGAGATCTGACTTATATTCCCTTGACTTAGCAAAAAGTACAGCCTTAACATTTGGCTGGAAACTTCTCGCCTCATTGTCCATTTTACGAATCTGGAATAATATGAACAAAAAAATCAAGTCCATTTTCATAAACAAGAAAATCTAGAGCATCAACAACAAAACAACCAACCAAAGACTCCGCATCTTCCAACCCAGCTTTTATTTCAGAAAGTTTTTGCTTCTTTTGCTCTGCAAATCATAAATAAATAAACAGAGTAGACCTGGAAAATCAAAAAACTATGCAACAAGCAAGGTACTGTGTGACCTCCATCAAGAGCACCAGCAGCTGTACACTTTCTGGAGAGATTCGCAGAGAGCTCGCAGTACTGACGCTCGTATCCTTCGAATACTTCACTCATCTTCCTCAACACAGAATCTGCTGAATAACCTAACACCACAACTCGAGACCTCAGATTAATTCGATCGAAACAAGGAAATCAAGAATGCGACTCAGTATGGATCAGAATTGAGAAAACCTGAGATGATGATCTGACTGGAGACTACCCAACCGGACAAAGGAGGAATTCTTGCGTTTATTTATTTATTTATTTTATTTAACTTTTTTTTTTTTCCGTGGGTGACTAAAGAGGCGCAGAACGGTTCCATGAGGTTTCTAGAGCGACAGCTGTCAAACCATGCGGAGTTAGTTTCGGTTTTGTGTACACTGTCTCGTGAGGTTAAAATTGTTCTCTCAACTGATTTAAGGGATTTTAAGAGGGTAATGAGGGTAGGATCATGGATCCTTACCTTACAAAATGTTAAAATGTTAAGTTCAACTTTTTTTTT